GCAATGACAAAATAGTTTTTGTGTCTCGTATCTTTTGATCTTCTATAGTGTTATGATAAACGGTGACAATACGAATATATATTGTAGTTCTCTTTCAACGAAAATAATATTATTATTATATTTTTGACGACTGTCGTACACTCGTACCAACTCGAAGACCACTCAAGATATCTCCCAGAGCATCTGTATTTTACGCCCATACTTGCATCAAAAAAAAAGGCAAACACATTATTTATATGCTAGTTGCCTCCAATCTTTTAATCGAATAGTAATAACTTTGATCATAATTCAGTGGTTCTAAACGATTGAAAATAGATGCTGACATATTAATAGAATGTAATGTATTTCAAATGTTGTTGAGCAATTTTTGTTTTTCCTTATAGGCCACTTGTATTAATTTATGATTTTAGTGTCTAAAATTAAAATTTTTTTAATGGGACCTAGGTACCATTAGAATTAGACATAGTAATAATTATGATATGTGTATGTTTATTAATTATAGTTTACATTTTATATTTGTTTTCATTATTATTATATATTTTTATTTGGGTAATATGATTTTCAAATGTATGAAAAACATAATTTATTTATTTAAATATTTATGAAATAATATTATTATCGTTTTAAAATGAAACAGTATTGTACGAATTGTGTCTTAATGAGCTGGGTAGTGACTTTACTAGAAATCTGGTAACAATAATGATGTTTTAGTGTCAATAACTTTGGTGCACCTCAACAGTGTTGTATGCTTCGACACTTTTAGGATTTTTTATAAACATTGATTTTTAAATTCTGTATTGAATAGAGAAAGTAAACAAATAATGGGTATGTCACAAGTAATCGTAACTATGTGTTGTAGAGGTGAGCGTGCAACTCCTGAAGGGAACAGTAGCTTATTAAATAAATTACGTCAAAAGAATTTAATATTTTTCTTTTATTTCAAACGGGTTTAAGTGACTTCCCAGAGCCTAATCTTACTTATCAACAAACACGGTGTCAGATTTAGTTGCATTCGGTAGAAGACGAGTTGTGTATTAATATTAAATACTCAAAGACTAGTTTATCGATGTCGAAATACCCATCTACGTTTTTTATCCTGATATCTGACCACAATTATTCAGCCTTAGAAAAATTTTTTATTTTCTTAATCGATCAATATTTTAATTTCGTATTTTAACCAGTCATGGCTATAATGGTATTATCAAAAATGTCGTTAACATTTTAAATTTAATACAATTATAATTATAATATTAATTATGGGTTACTGGTTGAGTTGCGAATTTTAGCTTTGGTTTACTAGCGGTATTCTAAACGAAACTTTTTAGACTTAATGAATTTATTTGAAAATGTAGAACATGTGTGTGAATATAATATTTAAATACAATATAAAATACCTATACTTGCTGTCTTAGAAAGGAATATTTTTCAGACAGCGTGTAGTAGGTATAATAAATTGTTTTTAATATTGTATAGTGTATGAGGTTAATTCCCCTAAAACGCAATTAGGTCTTAAAACGTAAATCGCTTGTAATTCACAGTATCATGAACGCGTTTTTTTTATATCGCGTGGTCCCCGCGTGGTCTTGAGAAATCTTTACACTGTGATGTAAGATACATAACTATACACATACATACACTCACACTCACACACACACACACACACACACACACACACACATGCATATCATATACAACGAAACACAACTTTTTTTTAATATATAATATATGTGTACATAAATCGGTCGAGCATTTTTTTATATATATTTTTTTTGGTTGTTGTTGTGTGCACACGATTATCGCAGTTGCAGCTATAGTAATTTATGTACGTATATAATATTAATACGAATGATAACGTGTGAACCGACAGAGTCGGAAAAAAATAGAAATCTACTCCTAACCGATGCGCCACTAGGGGATCCCAATGGTGATCGCGTAGCAGATGCTGCACAGACGGTGGTAAACATAATAATAATAATATAGGCGATTTTTCGAAGCACATGCGACCGCACCGTCGTACGGAGGTCGGGCGTTCGACGCATACGACATACACATACACACACACTGCACTTGATGTTTTAGGTCACACGCATAGCCGAGTGTTAAACGCGAATAATAATAATAATAATAATAATAAATACACACACGGTGAAAACAATAATATTAATATAATACGACGACTTGGCGTGTGCAGTATATGCCTATACATGATATTTAATAATATTATGTTATTACGCGTACCTAATAATAATAATACTACGATGTATATAGGTACCGCGGACATCTTCGGGAGAGTTGAGCGCCTTCACACCTTATTGGACGAGGCCGGGGCCGATCTCAGGCCTCGATCTGCTATATATATTGGCCGTTTGCCTTCTTCTTCTTCTAGTATTCAGTATTTAGTAATGTACGGTATGATAATAATACGTACGTATTATACATAACTTGTAATCACCACGCCATTTTGTGTTTGCATCGCGAGTAGTTTGTAATATGTTAGTTAACTTTATTAAGTTATATGTATAACTTATTATCTATACATACTTAAAGTAGGTAATTGTGTTATACCTATAGTGACACCGTTGACATTGCTACATAATATTATGTTGAATAATTATATTGTTGCACTTCGCTAGTCTACACTCAACAAGGACTACCTATGATATTATATTGTTATTATTGTGATGCCTATAATAAATCCACGTAAGCAATATATCAGCCTGCAAGGCACAAGGTGCTCATTGATTACCCCCCTGCATTATGTTGCTAATCCGGCAGACGATGCAACTCTTCATATTAATATATAATATGTATACAATACATAAGTGTAAGAAATTATAATAATATCATATGGTTTATACAAAATATAATATTATTGAATCGAGGGAGTAAGTTGTTCGTGAATTGATATTCGGGTAAATTACATAAATACAATAATATAATATTCAAAGATTCAGAGCGGAGCGATGAATGTGTTGATTTTATAATGATGTTTCTTATTTATGTGTATGGTGTATCTATCATTATTTAGTGTTAAGACTGCATTTTGAAACTTCAATCTTCAACTTGATTATCAACTTGTAACAAATATTATAAACTAATATGACTGTGACTCACTTAATTAAGACGTGTCGAGGTACACATACTACACATCAGAGGGAGTGTCCCTGTTATTTTGTCCATTTGCCACGTTGTATCTTAAATTAATTACGGTACTTATTTTGAGAAATAATAATTTATCGTAAAAATTACTTTTTTTACATTGAACTCGGTATTAAATCAACACCACTGTGCAACATGGCGTTCATTTGCAATAATTGTATTGTCAGATCATATTAATTTATTTTTGACAACGAAAAAAATACAGCAATGACGGTGATTGCCATAGGTATTATATGAAATAAGTGCCACCCTCAAGTGGGGGTTCACTGTTATGGGTTCATCTGTTTAATAGAGATATGATTTTAAATCCATTGGAATTTCTGAATTGTTCACATATTATTTTGCATCTTTGGCATGCGCTTTTCCCGCTGAAGTCACCTTTATTAGTAAAATGTGTGGGCACTCCCAGGTCACCTGCATCCCTGTATATACTATATATTATAGAGCAAGAATTCTGTGAGTTAAGAAATTTTAATTTACTATATTTGTGAGTAATGTAGTATAGATTTGAATGATAATAATAATAATAATAATAAAATGATGTGAAAACACAAGTGTAAAAGCAAAATAAAAACAAAACTCTTCTGTTCACAAAAAAAAAGGTCGTTTATTGTTGTGATTGTACTCACTTATATGAAATATTAAGAGATTAAGAGAATTAAATAAAACCAAACAAAAATCTCATCGTGGGTAAACCTACTTTCATACATAGGTAAACAATATTATTTGAATAACACCCCAGCTGCATACTAAATTACACGCACCGAGTGCATTGTAATGCAATAATATTATATCGTCATTATATAATGTATAATAATATACGTGTTTACAGCACACGCTGCACCGACCCCTCGATGAGTGGTTTTCTCCCACCACGTCTGAATAAAACGATAAATTTCGTCAAGCTGGCCGACAGCACCCTACCAGTATAATATTTATTATGTAAAATTATACGATAGTAATCTAAATATATCAGGTTTACCTATATGAATCAGGAATCTGCAGGTTAAAAATATCCGTGGAGATTCAATGCTTATAATCTTATAACATAAAATAATGTTTTGAAAAAAACGTGAGGAAAATATTTTTTAAACAGAAGTGTCCACCGACTACCGTTATAAATTAATAAAGTAAAGCCTAAGTAATCTGACATATTATATATAAATATATAATATAAATTGTTTATTTATTTATTCATTTATTCATTACATATTGTTATGTCATGTATACCTCAACTTCGACGATTTATCAAATTAGCGATTGCGAAGAATGTGTTTATTAGTTTTAATATACGGTTTGTTTTTTAAATTTTTCTGTAATTACTCTAGGAAGAAGAAGTTATCCGATTTCTTCATCATTAAATGGTTTCTGATTGCAAACTGGATGTATGCAAAAAAAAAAACAACCCATAAGGCCATAACACAACTGACTGAAACTCAGAAATTCTTTAAAATGGCAACATAATAGAATTGTATTTTTGGTACCATGGGATTTTGAAAAATATTGAAATGTTTCCTGGTAGATTTTCCATCCGAGTTCACTGAGAATCTTTTTTTCATTATTATTTACAACATATTGAATTATTTTATTTTGTAATAGCTGGTAATAATATATTTAATTTATTTTATAAATGTTTAATTTATTTACTACTCTGAACTAATTAATCTATAGTTTTTCAAAGCTGTATTTTGTCTTAAGAGTCTGACACATTCTGACACGTATACTCTACAGTCTTTAAAGGTTATAATTATTATTGCTACGGCTTAGAGTTAGGTATAGGTAACTAGGTAAGTGTAGGTATAAGACAAAAAAAACTAAATAATAGCCAAAACGAAACCCACCTGTTCGTGTTTTTTCAGATAGCTTCCCCGGGGAAACGTCTTGTCGCAGTATTGGCATGCATACGGGTTGGCATCGGTGGAGTTCGCTGAGGCCGTAACAGCGGCGACGGCGGCGGCGGCAGCGGCGCCGGCCGTGGCGTACGACGGCGGACGGCTGTGGCGATCGCGTCGGTGGTCGACGGTCGAACCGGGCCGGCTGTTGCTCGTGGCGCAGCTGTCCGGCGACGTGTGGTCCTCTGACACGGCCGAGCTCCACGACGAAGCTGCCTCTTCGGTGCTCGCCTCGCCCGCGCCACTCAGTGCTTCTGTGGAAAACCGTGACGAAACAGTATAGTAAATTGTACAATGTAAAATTGTCATTATTATAGCTTTGGATTATCGAGTATTTAATTTTGGGTTTAGTACTATATGGATAAGTATATCGATTAAACTACGAAAACGACGAAACGATCCCGCGTAACGTAATAATTATATGTACACGAACACACGATCGTGTCGCGCGTCACAACCAGCTAGGCATGTATAAAATGCCTCGTACTGCATTCGACCCGTTTACACAAAATGAGAAAATTACGATTAGTGTCTTCGTGTTTCTTTTAGCCTCAGATAACCGCAAAGACGGTCAATTTATATTTATATTCTTAAAGTTTAATCACTTGTTTCCATTATGTATTCAAACAAACAAGTAGGTGTATGAAAGTTCAGGCAGAAAACTAAGTATGAACATGACGAGACATATCCTGTATATTATTAAGACAGTATAATATGTGTTCAGGTTATCGGGCACACAAATTATATACCATATATTGAGTACTAAACAAGTAGAGTACGATATGGCGACGTAATAATAATATGATTACACTAACGCGATATAGTCTCGACTCCCAAGTGGCCAGTGTATACAGCTTCTATTATATGTGTATACTGTTACTGTATGTACCATGTGCGAACCGTTCGAGGATCATGATATTATATTATTGTTGTTACAACAACGTCGTTTCATCGATGATAAGCTGTATCGTCTCGCTGCATGGGAATATGAATTATATGTATTAAATATTTAAAGATGATTGAAAAATACGAAAAATAATTGGTAAGTACGTGATCTATTACACACTATCGAAATCATCGTCACGATATAGAGTGACAGTAGAACTGTAGAAGTGATTATCAATTCATCACATATCCATCATATAGTGTTTAAAGATTACGACTAGTATATATACTAGTAATACATCAGTAAACCAACAAAATACCGTCCGTTTGACAAATAGTAAGTCATAACTCATAAAGTCATAACTCATACTATTGCAATTATTTAATGAGACATTCACGAGTACCTACCCACCACAGTGTAATGAGTTTCGACCGAAACACATCATATTAATATTATTGTTATTCATCAGCGATAAATAACAATTTTCAATTGTATTGCTATTCCCCAACACAATGAACCAATAATATTCTTATGTTAAATCCAAAGAACTTAATATTTTTATTTTAGTAAAATAATTATAAATTAATTATGAAATATAATTTCTTATAATCACTAAAGTATATAATATAAACAAGAAATTGTTTCTACGTGGTTTACAACTAATGTGCCTACAAATATAATATATACTTTTTTTTAATGCTACCTAATAATTTATTAAAGATTTACTTTACATATTATTAATAATGATAAATATAAATAAAGTATATGACATTACCCTCTAGGCAAAGGATAGGTAAGCGTTTTAGATTCGTCAAAAAGAATATTGTGAGGAATATTATGAGTTATGATGGCTATTTCCATGACATTTATTTTTATTTATACGAAAGATCATCCTGGCTAGACGGACTATTTCAACTGAGCATTTAATGCATTTGGCTAGTGTTTTATTGTTAACTTTCTCTATAATCAAACATTATTCGAAATGGCGTACCTACCACCTATGTCCTCCTTCAGTATAACTGCAGGTAAAATATTATTTCAGACGTTGATATTAAAAACTGAATTTTATGAGATTTAATTTAATAAAGATTGCACGATAAATTATTATTATTCAGACCAATCGGTTTTAATATTTTATGCTACCTATGTACAGTTTTCAGTTTATCGCTCAACTATAATAATAAAACCTTATAGTAAGTTATTACAACAAAAGACAATATAGGTACCTGTTATCTGCAGATCACGCACACCAGAAGAAAAACGATATCAATATTGAAACCAAAATAAAATATGACAGTATATTATGGCGATCAATAATTTTAAGAATTGTATGAAAACTGCTATCGGCACTGTTTTTAAACGTCGGTTTAACAGTCTGTTTTAATCGTTAAAAACACGTGCTTAAAACAAAACATATGCAACCCTTAACACATTACGCTTTGCGACCCCTTAGAAAATAACAGCTGCTGTAATAGGTATCAATAACGATTGGATTCTCAAAAAAAAAAACACGTACTTAACTACGAATTCGAGAGCCGTAGTTATATATATAAATGCAAAATATACAATATAAGCACGATGGAGATGACTGCGCGGGACTATAACAATTATTTAATACATATATATTCATATATATATTATCATTCCACCTTAGCGTCACGTCGTAATAATATTATATGTCTGAGCATAAGTATATATATACTATATTAACCGTATTGAGGTACCTACCTATTTTATGCGATAATCCCAAGTGTTAAGTCATTATTAAATATCTACAAACGATTTATAACTGCGTAACGGCGCGAAAATGGAGCGTGCGATATTATTATCGTTACTGTCTGGCCGGCGACAAACTCACCGACGGCAGCAACGCCACCACTGCATCTCTGCGTGGTGCAGTAGGCGTCAATTATTATTATTATTTTGATCGTTACGCGAGACGGGTCGCCGCATCCGCACAACGCGGCGGCCGTGTGTGGTACATGGTCCGCCGTTGCCTACGCGTGCCTCACACACGCCTACTCGGTCCTGTAGTCGTCGTCGACGTTTTCCGCGTTCGTCGTGCGTGAGTTTCGTAGGAAAATCGTAGGTATACCGCGTACGTACGTCATAATTCGAGTATATAAAATTATATTACATGTAATGCATATAATATTTATATATATAAATTAAGTTTATTATATACCTATATATAGGTATCTGGTACATTATAATATTATAATGTGTACTGCAGTTATAGAATTCGTTATTACTATTACTGTAATAATCTAGCAGCCGTCGCATCGCGTTTTAGTCTCTTTAATATAATCACCGTAGTTCCGTAGATTATTAATCGCGTTTAATGACCGGACGCTATTTGTAAAACAGAAATAATATTCCGTTTCAAAACGAATAATATCCCTCCGACCGTTTTTCACCCTTCCCTCCAGCGCTCCGAGCATATAATATATATATATAAACACGACGTCTCCTCAATCATCTTTCATTGCACAATTGCATACAAGTCCAACGTCCAACGGATCATTATTATTTATAATAATATAATATATTAAAATATAATAAGAACGCATTTTATCATGTCTATAAAATGTATAACATTGAAAATTGCATAAATACTTATCTTCCCATACGAGTCGCAGTGCTTGAATTAGATGAAAAGTAGGAAAATGACCCAAAAATGTTAACGTTTCTGAAAATGTAAAGACTTAAACGTCGTCTAAAAAATTTATAAACAGGACGACTGTACAGTTCTATTTTGTTGTTATTTTTCAGTTCTTAGTGTAGTTCGCATCAATAAATTATTATAACAAGCCGCCACCAGCTAGTTCGTATATAATGAGAATAACGACGGTAATGATTTTGCATGCCACCCGAGTGCCTGACACTTGATGATTGTAACTCGCGTAGTTATGATGAGACGCGACTCGATTATTAATAATTATTGACATTGTACTCACGACACCCGAATTCGCTCTAATAAAAGTCTGCTTAAATTGAATTATGCTCGTTGTATATGACGTTGGCGATTTAATTTTATTACAGAATCGACCGGGCTGAAGGATGACAGTACGCCAAGGGTTGGTGGAGATCGTTGTTATTGGCCCTAAGGTGTTTCTCAACGTGTGCCGCAATAAGGGGACAGTAGACCATTATAGGAACGAAATTGGTTGACTAGATTATAGCTCCACGATAGGTGGGTGTAGAAGAGTAAGGATATGTTTCAGAGTAAAGTTCGTGTAAGCATTAGCTTTTGAGACCTTGGGGATAGAAAAGTCATTTAGTATAACGCGTCCCGTGTTGGGTAGACTATGCCAGCCACCGTTTTTTTTATTTTAGAGTACATAAAAATACGACTTTTTTTACCCGATAGGTAACTCCAGATCTAGATAAAAAGAGCTGGATACTTGGATGATAAGCACAATAAGTATTAAGATAATATCGTTTAGCATTAGCAAAAGTTTATTAACAAATAATAGCTATAACTTAAGATTGGACATTATATTTACAGTACCTTCAACCACTTCACTGTGCGCACCTTATCAAACACGCTTTGAACTAAATTTCGTATACTTACTACTTACTGTTCGTATCTCAGAAAATATTTTTTTTAGGACGACAAATTGTATTTTGATTATATTATAGCACCTGTTAACAAAATATAGACTTAAGGGTGTAAGTCGTATTATTATTGAAAAATGATCCCATAACTACTTGATCGTGACATTTTTTCAACATAGATACAATTTATCTTACAACTGATAAATATTACGAGCTACATTTGTACTCTTCAGAATTAATATAATTTATGATATTATTACTACATAGGTACTGTTTAGATTAATATTTAGATTAAGGACATAGCATTAATTATACATAGCCCTACATAGGTAAAATATTATACAAATAACAATAACAATGATCATAATATAATATGAAAATTTGAATTTGAATTTGTAATAAATTAAATTCCAAAATATTTTAATATATAGATAAACTATACTATCTACTACTACAATTACTGTTTAGAAAAAATATTAAACAATTGATGAAATTAATAAATTATAAAATGTTACATTCATGGAACTATTAAGACTAATTGTACGGTGATGAAAAAATAACTTTACACTTAACAGGAACTTTTTTTTGTGTATAAATGTATAACCATCTACTTAACGAATGATGTACAATAATAATATTAACATATTTTATACCTTGATAAAAATATTAATGAATGGGAAAAAGGTAACCGAATAATAAGTAGATATCCAAAAATTAGTCTATAATAATTGTACAATATTATATCCCTGTTTATTTCTTATACAAAACACTGTAATTATTCTGTATAATAGTTTAACTGAAGTCCGATTA